CCCAGTGTCCCCCAATCCCTTCCCAGCCCCTCCCAGCCCCTCCCAGTGTCCCCCAGTCCCTTCCCAGCCCCCCCCGCCGCCCCCTTTGCCCCCCATACCTGTCCCGGGGCAGGGCCCGGCTCCCAGGGGCCCTCCCAGCCCCCCCACTCGTGCCCCCCAATTCCATTGCGCCCCAAGTCCTGGGGGTCCTGCGTCAGACAGGGGGGGCTGGGCCTGGGTGGGGGGGGCCTCTCTGGGGGTATCGGGGACCCCCCTCGTGGGCTGGGGACCCCCTCACCCAGTGGCCCCAGAGACCCCCATGCGGGGGGGCTGGGGAGGGGGGGAGTGTCCGGAGGGGGCCCCTCCTCATCCAGGGGGGTGCCAGGGGGGCTGGGGAGGGGGGGAGTGTCCGGAGGGGGGTCCTCCTCATCCCGGGGGGGTCTGGGGGGTGACCCCAAACCAGGAGTGCTGGGGAGGAGCAAGGGCTCTACCCCATAAGTGCTGTCAGGGTACCCCGACCCAGGGGGGCCAGGGGGGGCCTCCATCTTGGGGGGGCTGAAGGGGGGCCCAGATGTGGCGGGGGGGGACCCCGACCTGGTGGTGGCAGAGCTGGGGGTCCCCAGGGTGATGGAGTGAGGGGTCCCTGTCCCCATGGGGCTGGGAGGGGTCCCAGTGGTGGCATACTTGGGGGTCCCCATCACCACAGGGCTTGAGGGGCTCCTTGGGGTGACAGAGGGAGGAGTCCCTGTCCCCGTGGGGCTGGGGGGGGTCCCGGTGGTGGCACACTGGGGGGTCCCTGTCCCCACAGGACTGGTGGCATGGGGGGACTCTGCTCGGGCTGGGCTCGGGGGGGTCCCCAGAGTGGCAGAGGGAGGGGTCCCACTCCCCGTGGGGCTGATGGGGGTCCCGGTGGTGGCACATGGCGGGGTCCCTGTCCCTACAGGACTGGTGGCACGGGGGGGGGACCCTGCTCGGGCTGGGCTGGTGGGGGTCCCCGGGGTGGCACATGGCGGGGTCCCTGTCCCCGCGGGGCTGGGGGGCAGGGGCGGCGGGGGTCGGCCCGGGCTGGGGGGCGGTGCCCCGCGGGAGGCGCCGGGCGGGGGGGCCCGGGGGGGCTCCGGCCGGCGGAAGATGAAGGCGGATTCCGTCAGGCTGCGCTGGTACCGCAGGAACGGCCGGCGGGCACCTGGGGGGAGGGGGGTCAGCAGGGACCCCCGCACCCCCCGCAACCCCCAACCCCGCCATGGGGGCACCTACCGGGGGGGCCGCCGGGCAGGGCGGGGCCGGACGTGGACCCGGAGCGCTCCCGCTGCCGGAAGAATTCCCGGGGGTTCTGGGTGCGCTGCGAGACGAGGATGGCGGCTTCCTGCGGGATCGGGGGGTCAGCGGGGACAGGGCACAGGGACAGGGCACGGGGACAGGGCACTGAGTGTCCCCGTGACCCGGGGGCAGGGTGGGACCCGTCCCGGCACTCACGGCCGCCGTCCCGCTGCCCCCTCTGCTCCCCCTGCGCTCCCGCTCGGCCGCCTCGTGTTCCCGCTGCTGCTGCTCCTGCGGGACACGGGGACGATGGGAACCGCGGATTGCCCGGGATGGAGCCCTGGATCCCCTGAGAGCGACTCCCTGGGTCCTGCTGGGATGGCCCTCACATCCCTCCGGGATAGATCCCCCCAAGATGCCCCTGAAACAGACTCCCTGTATTCTCTACTATGGACCCGATGGATCCCGCAGGATTGACCCCCCAGATCCCTTGAGATGGACTCCCTCCATCTTCCCAGATCCCCTGGCATGGACACCCTGGATCCTGCTGGGATGGAGGCCCTGGATCTCCCAGGACATACCCCCCGGATTCCCCCAGGACCCCCCTCCCCTCTCACCCATCGCTCCTGCTCCTTCCTCCGCTCCTCCGCGTCCAGCCGTGCCTGCTCCTGCCTGCGGGGCCGGGACGGGGGTCAGGGGGGCCGGCTGGGCCTCCGTGCTTGGGACAGGGGGATGGGACACAGGGACGGGATGAGGGCGTGGGAACATGGGGATGGCGGATGGGACGCGGGGGTGGGACACGGCCGGGCCCCCGCGCTGCCCCTCACCGCCGCTCCTCGATGAGCCGCTCCCGCTCCTGCAGCCGCCGCTCCCGCTCCGCGGCCCCGCGCCGCTCCTCCTCCAAGCGCTCCCGCTCCCAGCGCCGCCGCTGCTCCCGCTCCCGCCGCCGCTCCTCCTCCTTCCGCTGCTGCTCCTCCCGCTGCGCACACCGGGATCGGCACCGGCACCGGGACACCCAGCGGCACCGGGAACCAGTGACCTCGGCACCGGCACCGGCACCGGGCCCCCACTGCCGTGGGCAACGGCACAGGGAACTGGCACTGGGACCCCCCAGCCTCGGCACCAGGACCGGGACACCCCCAACCTCGGCACTGGGACTGGGACTCCCCCCCCACTCGGCACTGGGACCCCCCCGACATCCGCACCAGGACCCCACAGCCTCGGCACTGGGACCGGGACCCCACTGCACTCCACACCGGGACTGGGACCCCCGCCGGGCTCGGCACTGGGACCCCCGGGCTCAGCCCCGTGGCCTGAGGCAACAGCCGTGACTCCACCTCCAGGGCACCGTGGGGACCCCCCAGCCCCTCCCCAGCCCTCCGCGGCCCCCACCTCGGCCTGTTCCCAGAAGGAATGGCGCTGGGTGCGCTGGATCTCCAGCGCCGGGTTGGTCTTGCGGTAGTTGGTTCCCTGGGGAGCACGGAGGGGGGTCAGGGTGGGACCCCCGGCACCCCTCAACACCCCCCGGCACCCCCAGGAAGGGTGAGCGAGTACCCATCGCCCACCGGTGCCCTCCCCATCTCTGCGCCCGAGACCCCCACTCACCACCAGCTCCGGGATGTCCGGGAGGGTTCCCCTCCTGGGGGTGCGGGGGCCGGGGGGCTCCAGCTGTGCCAGCGCCCGGCGCAGCCCCTCCAGCGTCACGTCCTCGGGACGGCGGGCACTGACCACGGCCGTGGCCTCCTGCCACCGGGACGGGACTGCGTCACCCCCCCGGCACCCACAGCCCCCCCTGCACCCCCGCCCCCCGCAGGGATCCGGGGAATCCCGGCGCCATTCCCTTGGATGTGTCGGATGTGGGGCTGGATCCAGATGTGAGGCCGGACCCAGATGTGGGACCGGATCCAGATCCCAGACCCAGGCGGATCTCCGGAAGCCGGGCTGAGAGGATGGGGAGGGCAGGACCCCCCCGTCAGGGCGGAATGGGGGGGGCAGGGATCCCAACCACAGCTCCGGCGCCGCGGCCAAGACTGGGAGCACTGGGAACGCGGCGGCTGAGTCAGCAGCGCCAGGAATGCGCCCGGGCACAGGCAAAGGTCGGGCTGGCGGGATGGAGGGGTTGAGGGGGGAAGGAACGGGGGACACGGGGGAGTGGAGACCCCCACAGCCCTCCCGAAGCCCCCGGGGGCTCCGCGCCCCCCACTCACCCTGAAGAAGCTCCGGATGGCCGGCAGGTGCCCGGCACACTCCGCCCGCTGCGATTCCGGCACCTTCTCCCCGACCTGGCACCGCACCCACCGCTCAGCACGGGGGGTCCCATCCAGGGGTCCCCCCGGGCCTCCCCCCCCCCACTCACCCAGCTGATGAGGACGATCCGGGGGGTGCCAGCGCCGGGATCGGGGACCCGGCACAGCCCGTACATGACGCTGCCGGCGGAGAACTTTCCAGCGAGCTCATCCGGCCCCCCGGCTGCAAGGAGGGGGCGTCAGGGGGGACATGGGGACATGAGGGACCCCCAGTATCTCCCCAGGAGCATCGCTCCCGGTACCTCCGGAATCCAGGAGCTTGAGGTCGTGGTGCTTCTCATAGCCGAAGACGGCCCTGGGGGGGGAGGTCAAGGTGGGAGGGTCAGGGTGGGGGTCCCACAAGGGGGACCTGCCAGGTTGGGGCACCCCCCGTGTTCCCCCATGCCACCAGCACAGGATGAATTCATGGAAGTGCCGCCGGCAGCATCCGCCCCCGGGACAATGGGAACGTGGGAAGCGCCGGAGCGGCACGGCCCCCTCAAAGCCCCCCCGCCCTCGGCGGTCCGGGACCCCCCGCCCGGCGCAGGGGGGGCTCCGAGGGCCCCATCCCGGAGGGACCCTCCTCCCCCGGCACTCCCAGGGCTCTGCCCGCCTTTGTCTCCGCGTGGCTCCGGTTCCGGGCGCACGCGGGACACGGCTCGGCACGGCCCCGGGAGCACGCGTGGAGCGCGGCACGGCACGTCACGCGTGTCACGGCATGTCGCGACAGGCTGTGGCGTCACATGGCGGGACAGGGCCCGGCACGCGGGCGGGCGGGCGCCGGGAGGAGCCGGCGCTGGAGCGGGTCCAGCCGCGCTGCCGGGGCAGGGGGCAGTGCCCGGCCGGCCGGTGGCCACGGTGACGGGCGGCCCCGTGTCGCCGGGGGGGCTGCGGGGCCGGCGCAGTCCCGGGGCCGTCACCCCCGGCCCCGGGATGGGGGCTTTGGGGGACACCGGCTCCAGCCCCTCAGCACCGGCACCGGTGCGGGGCCGTCCCGGGACCACCGTTCCGGGACCCGCTTCTCTCCCGTGCAGCCGGGCAAGGCCCCCCCCTCTGGCACCCCGGGGTGCCCCTCCGGCCCCGCAGCCCCCCCGTGCCCGCCCTGCCCCTCCCCGGGTGGCGGCGCCGCTCCCAGCCCGGCGGCACCGGGAGGGACCGGGCAGGACGGGACGGGACGGGACCGGGCGGGTCTCCCGGTTCCCAGCACGGCGCCGGGCGGGGCTCAGGCCCAGGACCCCCCCTTCGGGCCTGCATCCCCCGGCCGGGACCCCGGCGCGCTCTGGACCCCGGTCCCGGTGCCGGTAGCGGTGCCTCTCGGACCGCCCCCGCCTGACGCGTGCTCCTGCCCGTTCCTGCTCCCGGTTCCCTGTTCCGGTGCCTGTTCCCTTCTTCCGTCCTCATTCCCCTCTTCCGTCCCCATTCGCGGTGCCGGTTCCCCATTCCCGTCCCCATTCCCGGTCCCAGACCCCATTCCCGGTCCTCCCCGCCCCCAGTCTCACCAGTCGGTCCCAGCCCGGGGGTTCCCCACGTCCTCCCGCGCCGCCAGCAGCGCCAGCCGGTACCGCTCCAGCCCCGGCCCCGCCATCCCGAGCCCGGGGCCGATCCCGAACCAGGGGCCGGCTCCACCGCCGCCCTGCGCCCGCCCCTCCCTCCCCCGCCGCCCCCCCGGCACCTTCCGCCGCCCACGGGCGGCACCGGGCGGGGCGGGGCGGGAGCGGCCGGGAGGCACCGGGACGGGACGGGACAGGACAGGCGGCGCTGGGAGCGCTGGGAGCGCTGGGACGCGGGTGCTGGGACAGGGCCCCGCACTGGGACGAGGTCCAGCACTGGGACGGAGTCCCGTGCTGGGATGGTGGCCCTGTATTGGAATTATGGCCCTGTAGTGGGATGTGGGTCCTGCACTGGGATGAGGGTCCCATACTGGGATGAGGGTGCTATGCCAGATTCCTGCTCTGGGACGTGAGTGCAGGTCCCAGGATCCCTCACAGGGATGTGGGTGCTGTGCCCGGGTCAGCTTTGGAATGTGGGTGCAGTGCCAGGGTCCCACACCGGGATGAGGGTCCCAGACTGGGATGTGGGTGTAGGTCCCAAGGGTCCCATACTGGGATAAGGGTGCTGTCCCAGGATCCTATGCTGGGATGACGGTTCCACACTGGAATGTGGATGCTGGGCCAGGGTTCTGGACTGGGATGTGGGTGCTGTGCACCGTCCCAGACTGGGATGTTGGCCCAGGTCCCAGGGTCCTACACTGGGATGAGGGTGCTGTGCCAGGATCCAGCACCGGGCCAAGGGGAGGGGTCCCCATCCTCATCCTGCCCCACTTACCCCCTGTCTCTTCCCCCTGTCCCCGAAGCCTCTCCCGCAGTTCCTTTATTATGCCAGAAAAGAGGATTTTGGGGTGCTGGGGGTGCCCCCGGCCTCCCCCCCCGACCATGAATATGGCCCTGGGGACACCCCCAGCCCAGCGTCTGGCCCGCCCCGTCCCCCCTCCCTGTCCCGGAGCCTCTCCTGCCTTTCCCTTATTTGGGCACCGCGACTGGAAAATCCCAAACCCCCAGGGAGGGAAAAAATGCCGGGAAATGGGATCTTGGCCCCAGGGATGCCCTCAGTGCAGTGCCTGGCCCGCCCTGTCACCCTCCGTCCTAGTGCCCTAACTGGTGTGGCTGGTGTTACTGGTATGACTGGTGTTACTGGCATTACTGGTGGTACTGGTGGTACTGGTGCTGCTG